AATTTAGTGTATGTAAACAGCTTTCGATATGTATTGTCTAAACGCATTTAAATCTTTTACTTAAAAGCTACAGCAAAAATATTGGTATGTGACCATGTAAGACTGTCAATGCCAACAAAGACAACACTAATCAGCATACCCTACATTGGATTGCACTGCTCTCCAAATTATTTGAAAAATGCATTACAGACAACTTGCCTGACTTTTAAATGAGCATAAAAGGCCCTCTAACCTATGCAGGTTTCCTCATTACGCATATAGAAAATGCTAGTGTGTTTTTGCTCACTTCATATGTAACAGGTGCCCTTATGTTGTGCTGTATCCTGTGCTTTTTCTGTGGGACCATTCCATTCAGGAACAAAGCGCACCATGATTCCAATCTGTGTGTATTTACTAACCCTTCCCTGAGGTTTGTGTATGTTGGATATTGTGGTGTTTTAGATCACTGAGTGTACAGAAGAGAGAATTCAAACAAAATATTGCTGTTCTTCAGTTTTGTTTGTGGAATTTGAAATTACTCAAATTTAAAATAAATTACTGGACTGTGGAAATAACATGTAGAATGGCAGTTTTAATTAAATAATCTCTCAAATTTAAACCAAAAGAACCATGGTTGTGATAGTTTCATATTGGATACTGAGGCGCAGTACAGTGAGGCAGGAGCACAGAAGTGGAATGAGGATTGGGACATGTGAAAACATAGCATTGCATCATGTGCATTACTATAGTTAATAAGGTACATGCAGTAGTCTGAAGAAACAGCACTGTAGTGGGCTACATTTTGGCTATCTCCATCATTTTAACCAAGTGGTACCTTAGGTTTTTCTCTAACCATTTCACTTAAATGTACAGATCATGGATGTTCTATTAACTTGAAATAAAAGTATATAAGCATGTAGTTAACATACTGTCCCTTATCATGAATAGTAAGGGCCCCCACATTATGGGTACTTTAAGTCAATTTTTTTTTTTTAACCAGTGTTTGAATTCAGCCCTTTTTGTTTATGGCTGAGAATATTACTTTTAAGTTCATTTCATTGTTAATCCTCAATAGAGTTAGCCCCCTACCTAGCCTGTATTGCCTGTAATTCTCTACATAGGGCAAATGACCATAAGCTGCATGGAAGGCTTTTTTCTTTTTTTAAACTTAGAACCCCTGCCCTTCCCCACTTTTAATCATCCCATCCCTTATTTTCCTATCAAAAATTATAGTATTAGCTGGAAAATTCCTTTTTTGGTTTTTCATTCTGCAAACATTTGGCTGTACTTGTTTCTGCTGGATCTCTCTCCCCCCTCCCCCCCTTTCTTCATCATCAAAATCATGAGGGAGAATAGCAATGATCCCTGGGAGTTCATTCATTTCAGAGTCAAGATTTGTTCTTCTGGACTTTTCCTGTACTTTGAATCAGCTGTGGGTTTGTTTTTGTTTTTCCAATGGAATAATTCATCTCTTTTCCTTAAGTTAAATATTTATTAAAGGTTTTCTTATAACTTTAAGAAATAAAAAAAAGCCGTTTTAATGTGATACTATGTCCAATGATAGTTTCCACATAAACCATCCATAATGGGCTATCGTAGAAAGAAACTGTGGTGTATGACATAGGTTCAAATCCTGAGCAAGCTGAACCTCTGAACATGTTCCCTCTTGTGTATGTTAACACGATGAGTACTTTCCAGAATTATTTTCAGGAGTATTTTTAAATCTCAAAATGCCTACCTACCTCAAGACTTGGCAGTAAAGTATTATACAACAAGTGGTAGACCAAATTGATCATTTATTTTAAGATGTCTTCCCAAACATTACTCTGAATAGGATGATGGTCTGGGAGAAGGAACTAAAAACAGGGCATTAAGAGTTCTTATAATTCTCTAAACTTAACTGAAACAGGAGGGAAGAAGGGGGAGAGAGATTTAATGGGAAACCTCTCAGGAGGTAAACATGTTTTCAATGATCTTTGTACCATTGTACCAAAAAATCCGATACTTGTTGATACTCAACCTAGACATTGTACAACTTAGTACAATAGGAACACACTGACATGATCTCCAAGTAGGGCTGCTTGAATTTTCTGTAAATTGATTTAGTCATGCAGACATTCTCACACTAGTGGTTCTCAAACTTTAAGATCCTTTTGTACTCCTAAATTATTGAAGGTCCCAAAGAGCTTTAAGTGGAATTGTAGGTGTTGATATTTACTGTATTAGTATTTAAAACAAATTTTTAAAATTCATTTAGGGGCGCCTAGGTGGCTCAGTCATTAAGCGTCTGCCTTCAGCTCAGGTCATGATCCCAGGGTCCTGGGATCGAGCCCCACATTGGGCTCCCTGCTCCACGGGAAGCCTGCTTCTCCCTCTCCCACTCCCCCTGCTTGTGTTCCCTCTCTCGCTGTGTCTCTCTCTGTCAAATCAATAAATAAAATCTTAAATTCATTAAATATAACTTAAACTCATTGCATGTTAAACAATTATGAATCAACCATATTTCTCAAAACGAGTGGTATTGCACTGTTTTTTGCAAGTCTCTAAAGTTCATCTTCACAGAGGACTGCTGTATTCTCATGTTTGCTTCTATATTATATCAGTATATTCCATTTTTAAGTATGTGAAGAAAGTCTAGCCTCATGCAGATAATGTAATTAGTAAAGGAAAGGAGTACCTTTTGAGATACTTGTCGTTAGTTGAAATGTGGAATCTGAAACCGTTAACACTGAACTTTTTGTGATGTTATATTAAAATCCATTAGTCTCTCTGAATGGATCTTTTACCCATGCATGAAAAGAATGAACTCCCAGGGATCATTGCTGTGGTTACATCATGCATTGGTTATATGGAAAATACTGATTCACTAAGTTGTACAGGTCTTCTAAATATTGACAAGTGTCTTTAAAAAAATATTTGTGAGGAACACTGATATCATCAGAAAAGTCTTGGGAAAAAGTTTTGGGAAACTTGGGAGGAGAGGCAGAAGTTTTCAAGAATACTGTCAGTTGTTTTCCTTAAAATGATTGGGTCATTTAATTTATGAGGAAATATCTGCCAAACACCCAGGTGTGGATGGATAACTAGTTTGTCAGTTCTTTCAAGTAAAAATCTTCTATGACAAAGGCTGCTAGTTCAGCTCAGCTCACAATTCAGCCACACATTTTTTTCAAGACAACATTCATATTTCAGTGTGTACCAGAAGTGTTTAATATTACAGAGAATATTAAGACAAATAGAAATAGTCAAGGGTCAAATTTTATTTTTACTGCTTTATCAAGGACATTAAGTGAACTTTTTTTTCTTTTTTTTTTTTACCGTGAGTATAGGGCAGTGAAGTACTACTTATATAGGTAGGGTGCTCCTGTCTTGATTTGTGAAAGGTGCCAACAGTTTTACCCACCTTTGCAAATGTCAACACAGCAAAAAAAAGAAAAATGTCTTAGTATTATGAAAATAGTTTTGACCCCATGGAAGTATCTTAAGGACCCTATGGGCTCTGCAGAACATACCCTGAGAACTATAAGATTAAGCACCCTGTAAAATAAATACTAAGTACAGGTGAACTAGGAAATAAGCATAATGTATTTCCAGATTTACTAGAATTTGTGTACAGTTCATCCTAGTAGATGTACCATGATTTCTTACAGTTACTTGAGTCAGCCACAGCAGGCCATCCTGTTGGGAATGCACGGTCTTTGAACTTGGAGCCATCCGTCTCTGAGGCAAGCCTCAGAAATTACTGAGCTAGAATCATGCATTTACGATTGAGTTCTCCTCATTTCAGTTACATGCTGTTGCATCACTTTTGAATCTAGTATAAACATTCTATTTAGAAGCAGTTGCTACTGTGGCATCATTCACAGATGGAATTTCTCCTGTGCTGTCATGCCAGCATAAACTCTATAAAATTGACTAAATATTAGAAACTAAGACTGGCCGCAGTAATCTTTAGTGTTCTGCCCAGACTCCACTGACCTTAGAACTTTAAGTTGTGTTATCGTGCTGCTTATGTTGAAGTTAAATGCTAACTAATGCTAACTGTTGAAGTTAACCATGAAGAGTTGGAGCTACTTAACGTGCATCTGTTAACCAAAATTCTCTCTGGCATCATCACTTCTTAGGGATATACTCAATTTAGAAATACTGTCAGGATCCCCTCTAAAAGGCTTTCCTACACGAAGCTATAGCTTTTGGGAACTGGGACCTCCTTCATATTCTGGCCAGCTGGTATAACAGTAATTACTGGAATTATGTCATGATGCATATAAAGATCAAAAGGGAAATAAAGGTGCCCTTAATAATTGGTTCCTTAAATTCTAGGGTAAAGAAACAGGATGTTGGGATGACACACTACATTAACTCCACAATTACTGTAAATTCTTATGTGGGCCCAGTAATACCTTCAAAGTCCATACAAGTCACTTTACAAGTTTTTCAAGGCCTTTGCTATTAGGAAAGTTGGGGGAAGTAAAAGGAATTTTTATAGGCCATGATGTAGAAGCACTGCGGAGAACCTTCGGCCAGTGTGGGTCAGGGAACATGAAGTACTGCACAGGTGGATTATATCAACTGCTATAAAACCTCAATTTTGAGACAAAAAAAATCCAGGTTAGATTGTAAACCCATTGTGTGGGGTTACACCATGATCTGTTAATGTTGGCTATCACTCATCCGAAAAGTGATGGCAGGAAAACTATAGTTTGCATCCAATGAGAATACCCTTGAACCCTGGCCCTTCAAGGGGGTACAGCAACACTGTTTTGGGGAAGAAGAGCTATTTAACACATAGGGACCCAACTATGCAGAGGAAATGCTCCCCTGCCTCCCCCTGCCCTTGTAACCCAATCTTGTGACCAGTTTCTCTCAAACATTTTTTGTTTCAGCAGCTATCACTTGAACCATCAGGATCATTTAACCAACTTTTTTTTTTTTTTAAGCCCAAGATAACTGTAACTGAGCCAAGTACGTGATAGAAGAACGTGGAAACGGATTTTCATCTCAAAAATACTTAAGCTGGATGGGGGGAGAAATTCAGCTTTTATTGTTAGAATTTAAGTTTCAAAGCACATCTTGGTGGGACCATCATACAGAATTCCACCTAGTAAAGTTTTAGGTGGCCAGTGACCTTGTCAATTAGATCTGCTGGTCCTGGCCCAATTCCCAGCACAGTTCTAGAACCTGGTGCAATCTGAGTACGTCCAGCATCTTGGATTAAACTTACAGTCAGTCCTAGCATTTTCGCATGGGTCAATAATTCAACCAGAGTTTCTTCATCAGGGGCTTTGACCACCACTTTGGGCTGGCCACAGTATTCCCATTGTTTGAGCAATTCAGGGTTTCTCCTTTGAATTTGCTTGTAGGCAGAAACAGCAGCATGAGAGCACTGGGCAGCCACCTTCCCTTTTCCCATCTTTAAGTCATTTCGAACCACAAGAATCATTTTGTACTCCCCACTCTCTCCTAAGATGCTTGCTTCACTTCCGGTCTCTGTGTCTGTCTCGCTCAGTGAGCTTTTGGGGATCATCCCAAAGCGTACACGGAGGCCCCAGCCCAGGCACATGCCACATGCAACTCCAGCAGCCAAGCTAAGTGCACCAGGATGAGCCAAATATTCCATCACCAAGGATTTGGAGAGCATCTTAAAGGAAAGGAAAAAAGTTATCACTACATAGCAGTGAAAAGATACAGGCTTATCAGACAAGACACCTTGACAATATATATAAGCAACAACATTTTAAAACTATATGAGGTCATCCAGAAAAAAAAGCAAAATATATTTTGGATCTTAATGTACTGTTTTTTTCTCCCCCGTGTTTTCTAAAAGATTGAAGAATACAGGTAAAGCAGTTTAGGTCATTTTGAATCTCAACATAAGGATTATCTATCTTGTTCTTGGATACAATAAAGCTCTGTTGCTCAGTGTTCCCTAAGTCTTGTAGAGGAAGGAAATACTCCATTTCACCAAGCTGTCTAAAGGACCCAAGGAAACCAAGAATAATTCATCCCTTCTCTGGAATATAGTGCTCATTTAATTGTGTCTTCATAATCCAGTGGTTCTCAATGGGGATGGTACCAACTGCTCAGAGAAGTTTCTGGCTGTCACAACAACGGACCTGGAGTGAGGTGCACTGCTGACATTTACTAGACCTCAGCATGGAATGCCAAAAGTCTTACGAAGTGAAGATTTGTCCCACTGGAAATTATAGGTGAAAAATGATTAATATCTGAGACTAGAACCCAACTTCATTATACATATGGACACAAAGTATTTTTTGCATAGTTGTAATATACACTGAATTTACCAGAAGTATAACTGTCATATAAAACAAAGGAAGATCATCCTTTATCCTTTTTATTTTAGAAATTCCCGTTCCCTCAGCAAGGCTGTTGATGGTATGTATTTGGGTCACCAATAAAACACCTATATCAGTCTACATTTGAGGCTGTTGGACTCAAATGCTTCTGTGTATAGGCACAAACAGCTATCAGTTTCTTCTTCTAGTGGAAGAGTAAGCATTTATATACTGAAATACATGGGGCCACCATATTTGTAGTGCTGACACATAATAACCTTGATTATGCATTGCATAATCTACATGGCATAGACGGCAGTCAAATTTCCTTTTCTCATTTATTTTAAAATTAGGACATTAATGTTTTTGAAACTGCCTGGTTGGCTCAGTCGGTGGAGCATGTGCCTCTTGATCTCAGGGTTGTGGGTTCAAGCTCCACACTGGGTGTAGCGATTACTTAAAAATAACTTAAAATTTTAAAAAATAAATGAGGATAGCATAGGAGATGTTAAATTTTTTGAGATAAAATCCACATACTACAAAATCCACCTTTTTAAAGTGTATAATTTAGTACAATTTTTAAAAATATATCCACAAGGTTGTGCAACCATCACCACTATCTAATCCCAGAACATATTCAGTGCCTCAGAAAGAAACCTCTATACCCATTAGCAGCCGCTTCCTATTTTCTCCACTCCTGGGCCCCTGGCAATCACTAATCTACACTTTGCCTATTCTGGACATTCATATAAATCAAACCATACAACATGTAGCCTTTTGTTTCAAGCTTCTATCACTTAGCATGTTTTCAAGGTTCATCCATGTAAAGGCAGGTATCAGTACACTTCATTCCCATGTTCTTTTTTTTTTTTTTTTT